AAGAAGTAAAATGAAATCGGCTAAATTATATACCAAAAACACATTAAAAAAATGAAAAATAATTTAAAATTTAGAATTCCCAGCATTGCTTGTTCATGTGCATATATAATTGTACAAACACACAAAACCTTTTTTTCCATATATATATATATATATATATATATATATATATATATATTTACTTATTGTACTGGGGCAGCAGATCATTATTTAAACATATATTGTTAAATATAACAGACAATGAGTGTCTATTATGTTTGATCATGAGCCATTCTAAACTTTGTATATTTGCATCATAATAGGATGGCATCAGTGTGGCAAGTCAGGGAAATTGCTAGGTTTTTCTAGGTTAATCATCAAATGGTTAATAATATTGTCAAGAAATTTAATGAAGAAGGCCATTGTCATGTGGAACAGTGTTCAGACAGGTTTATGTTTGGATAAATCAGAATGAGACTTGGAACACTGAATGTCTGCAGGTGACCATGAAACATGGAGGGATTGGAGTAATGGTGTGGGGCGCTGTCTGGTTTGGAGGGAAATCTGAGCTGATTCTTGTTGAAGAGCAGTTGAATTGTCCAAAATACTGTCAAATATTAGAGAAAGAACTACTCCCACTATTTGAAACCAATCAGATTGACAAGAATGTCTACCTTTTTCAAGAAGATGAAGCGCCATATCATATGAGCAAAGTAGAAATGGCCTGGAAGGAATCGCAAGGAATCAAGTCACTGCCATGAGTAGCCAAACGTTCTGACATGAATCCAATAGAGCACGTTTGGGAGCACCTTGACCAAAAACTGAGAGTGGGCAACCAAATTCACATCAAGGACAATCCTTAAAGAAACATTTCTAAAGGAGTGGCAAAATATGGATCAGATGATTGTTGATAACTTGATCAGAACCATGAAAAATTGAATACAGACACTGAAAATAGCAAATGGAGGACCTACTTCATACTAGTTCCAAATATTGTTTATTCATGTTGGGTTGGGATTATGTAATTAAATTTTGAAATTGGCTGTAGTTTATTTCTCCTGGCCAAAACCTTTTCTTAGCCCACTGTACATAATTCATCATGGTGATGCTAAAAGTGTGTAGGTGCATTTTTCATGAAATGAGAGAAAAATTTTGACTTTCTGATTTCTATTTCTGAGCTGTTATTAATGCACCAGCCATGCATCGAAGCTTACAGCATCAGGTATTTCCAAGTGGTCACCCATCTAGGTACTGACCAGCCTCAACATTGCTTAACTTCATTGATTGTGCAAGAACTAGTATAATGTTTAATAAATTAAGAAAAGCATAAATGACTAGCAGCATGGCCCAGCGTTGCCCGTGTTTGATTCAAAAATCGTACGACTCATACAGCAATTGACTTAAAATATTTTTGCCCTTCCTTGCCTTTAAAGGAGTGCTCTTTGCCGTGTTGATGTTGCTAAATGACTTACTTCTTGCCTATCTCACACTGCAAATTTTTTCTAAGCTCTATACTAAACATTAAATCTGTTACAAAAAAAGAACTAAACAAAATGAACACAAAACGATCAGCTTTAAAAAAGGACTTGTAACTGGAAAAACCGAATGAAAAAAGAATGTTAACAACAAATACTTTTTCACACCCAACCCAGTTCTGCAGAATCAGAATCAACATTGAGTTTAAGCAAGTGAATGAGCCAATTGGAGTAAAGTGCCATGCAGATTTAAATTTTTCCCACTTGTGACGAATGCAGCTTATCGATTTTTTTTGCATGCTAGCATGCTAGTTAACATTCATGTCAGTCAGCTGTTGGCTCTCATACTGGCCAATAGAATCTTCCTGATTATTCATGGCAGCCAACTATAGGCTCTCACTCTGGCCAGTAGAAAATGGCTGCAAACTACATGAAAACTGCCGTAGAAGCATGAAAAAATTGATTTTTTCCACTATCGATGGGAGTTGGGAAATGCAAAGTCGGTCTTGGCCTTCCTGCTAACTTAGAGCATGTGCATGTAAATGTTGGTGCAAATCCGTCGAAAATTGCAGCTGTGCATTCGTTACACACACACACGCACACATTCTGCTTTTTATAGATAGTGATTTATCCGGCTAGCCGACTCAAGAGTTTTGCATCAAAATACTCGTCAGGTCCAGATTTTTGATAAATTCATTTTAAATTTGATTTTTACTTGAACATTTCTTAATTTATTGAATAATAGCCAAATTACCCACACCTTGCTGCATGTCACACATCTTTTTTGTAAGAAAATGATGATTGATTTTAAATCATTGTTATAATTTGTGGAGAAAAATGATGCATTTCAATATTACTCAATGGTCTTGCTGATGTGACCTCCATCTTCTGGCTGTCTCCTTCTATATTTTGGATAGGAGTCATTCCCTTGTTCAAATTTAAATTTAAACCAAAGGGAAAAAATTTTCAGTGATGGAGGGTATGCAAAACAGCTTGATCTGACCCCTTTGATATGTATTTCATGCAATACTTGATTGAATGAATTG